AATCCATATTGAAGACTACAGTCCTTGATTTTCTGCAGCAAACGCTTCAGGTATTTTTCAGGTATAGCAAGCAAGTTTGTATCATCTGCATAAGGTAAGTTGCTGATGAGTCTACCTCCAACCTTGACGCCACATTCCTCTTCATAAAGCCCTGGTTGCTGAATGACCTGTTCTGCATATTAACTGAAAAGCTATAGAGACCGGATGCATCCCTGACACACTCCTTTTCTGACTTTGGACCATGTAGTGTTTCTCTGCTCTGTTGTGAAAACTGCTTTGGTCCATGTATAGGTTTCCTATAAGCACAATTAAGTGTTCTGGGATTCCCATTTTCCTCAAGGTTACTGTTCTGGGATTCCCATTTTCCTCAAGGTTAACCACAATCTGTTATGATCTACAGAGTCAAATGGCTCTGCATAGTCAAGGAAACACATATAGCCGTTCCTCTGGTACTCTCTGCTTTCTGCCAAGATCCACCTGACATTGGCAATAATGTATCTAGAGCCACAACCTCTTCTAAACCCAGCTTGCATTTCTGGTAGTTTTCTGTCAATGTACTGTTCGAGTCATTTCTGGATAATCTTCAGCAGAATTTTGCTATTATGTTATATTAATGATGTTGTTGTTGTTGTTATGTGCCGTCTAGTCGCTTGCGACTCATAGCGACCCTATGTACAACAGCCCTAAACTCTGCTCTGTCCTGTGCCAATCGCACTATCTCTGATACTCCCATCCCAATTATCCCAGTCACTGAATCAATCCACCTCAGAGGGCCTTCCTCTCCTGCGCCGTCCCTCCACCCTCCCAAGCATGATGTCCCTCTCCAAGGACCGGTCTCTCCTCACAACATGTCCAAAGTATGTTAGATGGAGCCTCAGAATCCTTGCCTCCAAGGAGCCACCCAGTTTAACCCCTTCCAGGACAAATCTGTTTGTTTTCCTAGCAGTCCATGGTATTCTCAATACTCTTCTCCAGCACCACAGCTCAAAGGCATCAATTCTCCTATCCTCCTTGGTCATTGTCCAACTCTCTGATGCATAACAAGTGACTGCGAAGACCATGGCCTGTATCAGACGCACCTTAGTCTCCAGAGAGACACCATTGCTCTTCAGTACTTTGGAGAGGTCCCTAACAGCAGACTTTCCCATGGCAGTGCACCTTTTAATTTCCTGGCTGCTGGTGCCAAGACTGTTGACTATGGAGCCAAGCAAACTAAAGCTGTGTATAGTCTCAATCTCTTCACCATCCATCCTGATGCTGCCAATTGGTCCAGTGGTGAGAATCTTTGTCTTCTTGACATTGAGCCTCAATCCATATTGTATGCTGCAGTCCTTGACACTCTGCAGCAGGCGCTTCAGGTCCTCTTCAGTTTCAGCAAGCAGGGTTGTGTCATCCGCATGATGCAGGTTGTTGATAAATCGTCCACCAATCTTGACCCCACATTTCTCCTCATAGAGCCCCGCCTCCCGGATAATTTGTTCTGCATATAGGTTGAAAAGGTATGGAGATAGGATACATCCCTGGCGTATGCCCTTCCCAATTTTGAACCATGCAGTGTTCCCTTGCTCTGTTCTGACGACTGCCTCCTGGTCCAAGTATAAGTTTTGCATTAGAACGATCAAGTGTTCTGGGATTCCTGTTCTTCTCAGAGATATTGTTTGATAATTTTTACACTATCAGGTCACCTTTTTTTTTAATGGGAATAAGTATTTCAAAAAACAGATGCTGCCCTTGCTGTGCTCACCAAGTTGTGCCAAGAAATCTGGAGGACAACTCCTTGGCCAACTGACTGGAAGAGGTCGTGATATGTTTAATATTTTTTAATAAAACCGTAATTCAGACATGAGTTCTTTTTTGGTTTTCCTTCACATACATATGAGGTAACTGAAAAATATCAGGTACACCTTAGTTTTCAAAGTGATAACTTTGCTCTTTCACCCTTTATAGAGGTCCTTTGCCTAATCATACATTCCTTTCAGACAGTCTTTTCCCTTATCTGTTCCACTGCAGTGTCATGATCTGTACACTCTAAAAGGGATGTGTGATTAGGCATTATATGTATGCCAATAATCTGGAACACGAGGTGCTTTACAAAGTGGACTGGGGAAGGGCGGAAGGAGAAAAACGTACAACAATGAATGAATGAAAACCCAATCTTTCTGTAAACTTTTGTTAAAATCTCAATTTAAAAACATTAAAAAGAAGTCCTTGGCTACACATTTGCTTAATGCGATACATCATTAATTTGATTTCTTGACTGTTGCTCCCATGGGTACTGATTATAGATCCAATAAAATGAAATACTTAACAATGCCAACCTTTTTGGTCCAGGTGTAAGAACTTTTGTTTATTTTGAGATGTAATGCCGACTGAAGGTTGTAGTCTTTGATCTTTGAAGTGCTTTAATTCATCTTTACTGGCACAGTGGGTGTACTAGCAGGCTCAAACATAGCAACAATTGTGAAGAGAGGGCAGGATTGAGGAGTGTTCCATTCTATTGTACTGGATTAATGATGACAGATGATTCGATGCCTTTGAGTTGTGGTATCAGAGGAGAGTACTAAATCATGGTCTGCCAAGAGAACAAACAGGTCCTAAGGAAAATGAAACCGAGGTGCTAGTTGGAGGCAAGGATGGTGGAGGCAAGGATAGTGAAAGCCTGTCTCACATACTTTGAGCTTATTGTTAAGAGAAGCCTCATGCTTGAGAAGGTAGAGAATCAGCATGAAAAAGGATGAATTTCAATCAGATGGACCAACACAGTGACTGTAACAATGAGCTCAAGTGTGCTAGAAAATGTGAGGATGGCACAGGGTCGGGGAGGGTTCTGATCCATTATGCATATGGTCACTATGAGTTATAGTCAACTCAAAGGCACAATGAATGAATGCATGACAACACTGGATGAGTTAGGCCCAGTTGAATACATCTAAGAATAGGGAATGCTTGTGATAAAGTTTCAACTCAGGCAAAAAAAGTAAGAAAATAAAAAATAAAAAATTAAGGAGCTCTGGTGGCCAAGTGGCAAGAAGCTGCACTACAATACTGAAGGCATATGGTTTGAAACCACTAGATGCTCTGTTGGAGAAGGAGGGGCAACTTCCTCCTGTGTCAGCTGGATCTGATTTGTCAACACACAACAAGAACGTAAATAAATAAATCTTTTAAAAAAATACTGAAACATGCTATGGACAAAATTTAAAAAAAAATTAGAATCTCTGGTGGTGAAATTCAACATCAGAAGTTCCTCTATCATACTCACTGGCATATGTCCAAGAAACAAGAATGAACTGAAAAATGTGATTTAGGTAAAATATAAAGTCTGCTTTTAAAGGGACAGAGTTGCCTTTATACTTAGGAGACAGTAAATTTGCAGTCTTATTTTTTAAAAAAGTTAAAAATTGTTCAGGGCTGATGGTTAGGTTCAAACCAATCTCCTCCATTACTTGGTGATAATTGTCAAAAGAACATACAGGTCTTTGAGAAGGTGCAGCCAGAGGGCTCCTTAGAGGCAGATGATGAAGCTTCATCTCATATACTTTAGGCATATTGCCAGGAGAGGTTACTCCTTGGAGAGAGGGACATCATGCTTGGAAAGCTGGAGGAATGGTGAAGGACAGGAAGACCCTCAACCAGGTGGACTGACCAGTGACTATACTAATGGGCTAGAGTGTGTCAGAGATTGTGAGGATGGCACAGGACAGGACAGGGTTCAGATCTGTAGTTCACAGTGTCGCTATGAGTTGGACTCGACTTGACAGCACCTAACAACAACAACAACACCCTAAAAATCTTATGCTCTAGTGGAATGTATTTGGGGCAGTGGGAGGAGTGCGGGGGGATTGTGTACCAGGGAGGGAGTCTTTCTTTAACTTTTGAAAGAGAGGAGCGAACTGGGGGGCGGGGGGAGAGGGCTGGGCAGGTAGAGAAGTGCAGCAATGAATGAATGGAAATCCAAATTCTCTGTAAATGTTCATTAAAATTATTTAAAAAAATCTTATGCTCAATGAATGAGGTTAAAGATAAATAGACAAAGAGGGAATGGAAGAATGCTCAGGGAGGCTGATATCGCAATGATTTGGCCATGACAGCTTTCTCGCTGTGCCAATTCTGTTTCTGAAAAGTGCAACACACATCCCTCAATAAAATAATTTCCAACACCAATGAATATCAATGCTACCACATTCAGACTTCACATTTTACTTAATTAAAACAGATTAGAAAAAAGCAGGAATTCCTACTGCAGTATATGTAGCTGGTCCTGTGTACAAAGATCTGGGTTTGAGCACAAATCTCCAATGATTAAGATGACAGCATAACTCCTTTTGCTTCATTTTTAATTTTCATTAGAACTAGAACTAATTTGTTTGGAGAAAAACAAACTAGATTATTTAGAACATCAAACTAGAATAAGTCTATATTGAAGACTCACTTCAACTCATTGCGATTGAGTGGACAGAGATTCACACCTGACTCTCTCGCAGGTTTACGGAGACTGCAAATCACATAGGAGGAGACTACCCATCTTTTTCCTGAGGAGCAGCAGCTGGTAGATTCAAACACCAAGAGAGAGACAGCCTCGGGGTTGGCAGTGCAGGTCCATGTGGATTATGCCACTAGAGCGCTCCTTACATGGAAGAGGTGGAGAAGGAACTGCCTTACTGCAGAGTTCCATTCTGCCTACCATTAAACTACCTCCTACTAGAGTTTCTTTTCAACCTTCGTTTTCACACTCACACAAAGGAAGCCATATGTGGTGAGTTACTTATGGTGTTTGTAAGGCTGGGTTTAAAAAAAAAAATCTCCATACACTATAAGAATAGTCACTGAATTGGGCTGATTGAAGGTAACTTTCCCTACAGAGGATTTTAATAGTTTGCTTGTCTGTAGTGATCTCTAATAATCAGTTGCTTGGCCTCTGTTGCTGTACTCAGCACAATCAAGAGTCTTCTAAGTGTTCGCAGTGCAGAGTATTGAGTTTTCAGGAGGGGCTAACTGACCTGAGAACAGCTTGTTTCCACCCTGTGCATCCCATAGGAGAAGTCGTCTGTAAGAGTGATTGCATCAGAACTGATCACATCATGGAATGAAGGCCAACCTGGGTAAGAGAGGTAAAAAGAAGCAAACAGAAAGGAAAGTTACACAGTGTTTATTTGTTGTTGTGTACCACAGAGTTGGACCCCATCCACAGCTGACCCTCTGGCGGGTTTTCAGAGGCAGTTAATGACATAGAAGGAGAAGGTCCATCCTTCTCCCGCAGAGCAGCTGATGGCCTCCAACCACGGGCCTTCAGGACTGCAGCACAGCTTTTTGCCGGTAGGCCACCAGAGCTCCCTAGTATTTGTTTAGGATGCCATTTTACCAAAATAGTAAGCAAAGAATGAAAATTTTTTAATTTATGACCCATGCTTAACTTTTTCAAACTGGCAGTCAAACCTGAAAGATAATATATGTCACAAAAGTAAAATTATGTTTAAGAATAAACTTTTCCACAGATTCAGATTATGCTCTCATTGAGGTTTTACGTTTTTAAAGACATTATTAGGCCATTCAATAGGAGGGCTTTGTTGGCCCAGTGGGTACAGAGTTGCACTGCCAACCCCCCAAAAAGGCAGGTGGTTCAAATCCACAAGCTTCTCCATGGAAGACATATAGGAAAACTCCTTCCATGTGATTTACAGCCACTCGCTGGAAGGTCAGCAATGAGACAATTACAAAGGCACTGCGGGTTATTCAATGGTTTTCTAGCGCACCTTCTAATTTAAAAAGCTTTCTCTTGCCATTTTTTTTCTCTTGACTTCAAAGTCACCAAGGAGGCTGGAAGGACTGAGTCTTCTGATATGATGTTTTCCAAGATGAAACCTAACATGTCCATTGACTTTTCAACAGTTCTTATGTCTTTAGGAAGCGAGTTTTTTGTGGTTAGGGATACCCCCCTACTTAATTGAGGTGATTAGTCACTGCATTAAAGCATAATCTTGTCCTATTTTGTTCTAATTTCCCTAGAAAAATACCTAGAAAGCATAGATTCTATTTTATGTGACAAAAGGCTTCTTGTTTCACAGAAGAAGCTCAAGGAGTGGTGTTCTCAGGCATCACTAGGTAGCACTTTCTTTCAAATAGCATCTTGTTCCAATTTTCATTAAGTCTAATGATTTTTAAAATACACAGAGTTTTCAGAAATTCAATGGTAAGTGGACCATAAGATTGTACAAATGTTTGTGAGTATACAATTGAGTTTTATGTTCAGTATTTATGGGCAGGTTTTCATATATTTCTAGAAAATATGTCTGGAGTCAATGAACTAAAGCCCGCTCCCCCAAAATGATGAAAGAGGTGTGATGTTGCTGAATTACTGGTACTTTTTTTTCTTTTTCAGAAGCCAAATTTATTCCTGCAGAAAGAAGGAAGCCCTTTAAAAACACAGTGCCTTGTGCTAATACACCTATTGAAAGAAAACAGTGTGCAAACTTCAATAATATGACTTCCAGTTTCAAACAAAACAAATTAGGTCAGACCCAGTCTCTAAAAGAAGCTCCCCTCCAAACCCCTGCTGCCTCCCTTAACCATGCAATAGTATTATAAAACACGTTCTAGTGCCTTGAATTGAACTCAGGATTGCTAATCACTTGGAAAACCTTAACCTTCTAGACTATAACTTTTCACAGAAACTAATCCTGCTGAGACTCAAATATTCTGAGGAAAATCCAGTCATCTATTTCTCAAATTCTAAAGAAAATTTTAATATATTCTAGGCTACAATATTTGGTTAATAATTATCACTTGAATAGTTTTCTTTTTTTGCTCAATTAATGACTAAACTACCAATTATTAGTGAAGTCTAATGATGATGTCTGAAAACACTGAAAAATACTATGTACGAAAAGAGGGGGGAAAATCTTCACATTCTTTCAACTTCTTAGTGTAAAAATCATTTAATTGTGATTTTAGTTAACTAATATTATTAGAGTTTGTTGTTAAAAGCTCTATTGGTGTTATTGTTGTTGTTGTTATGTGCCGTCGAGTCATTTTCGACTCATAGCGACCCTATGTACAAGAGCCCTAAACCCTGCTATATCCTGTGCCAATCGCACTGCCTCCGACGCACCCATCCCGATTACCCCAGTCACTGAATCAATCCACCTCATACAGGGCCTTCACCTCCTGCACTGTCCCTCCCCCTCCGAAGCATGATGTCCCTCTCCAAGGACCTGTATCTCCTTACAACATATCCAAAGTGTGTCCCCAGAATCCTTGCCTCCAAGGAGTATCCTGGTTTAACCCTCTCTAGGATGAATCTGTTTGTTTTCTTGGCAGTCCAGGGTACATTCAATACTCTTCTCCAGCACCACAGCTCA